AAAAGAATAACATGAAAGAAAAATGCCGCAAGAGTCTCTTAGATTAGAGTGATCCAATGATCCTTCAAACGGTTCTAATCTCCTTTCAAAGAAAAGTTCATGTCAAAGCTTAAAGATGAATCCCCAAAGATCTTTAAGAAAGACTATGTTTAAACAATTTCCAAAAGATACAAGAAGAACGAATCTTGTAATTCTATCCTTCTCGTACTGATTTTTTCATAAGAAAAGATTTCGGGTTTTTTTAATGTCTCTCGACCTATTCCTGAGACGTTTGATAGCTCAAACCACAAACATTCCAACATAATATTTTTATTGTGTTGGGTTGGCCCGCACTGTAGAGCCCATTGATATCTAAAATTTATTTGAAGGACCCACTGAATTCATCTTACAAAAAACATGAGAGCCTAATATGACCACATGTCATTTCTTGGGTTTTTTTTTCCAAAATAGTTCAAACAATTTAATTAATTAGCCTAGTAGGATATATAGAAGTTTATTTAGCAGCATTTGTTATAGTGATTTAAAATTCGTCACATTGAGGTGATGAATTCTAATAAAATATTTTTTTATTCACTCTTTCTCCTGATGTGATAAAAATTAATAAAAAATATTTTTTTTATTGAAACTCATCACCTCAACGTGAAAAATTTCTTAAACAATGTAACAAATGTCGTAAATCTCAAAATAAATTTTTATTTGTCTTATTTTCCCAAACAATTTATCCTTTTTTTACCTCATTTCTTACCATCATCAATATTCATTGGGCTATCCTCCGCATCAAAGCCCATTGTGAAGATTAATTTGAGATAATTCCCCTAACATAGGACCAAAGTTAGCATTTTGAATCTCTAAAACTCCATCATATTTTTTTATGTTACCGTTTTCATCCTTACCTAGAGGTTAAAACAAACCTCCTCTTCCCAAGTGAGTATAAAGAGGAGATTGTCAAAATGTTGTGCCACCAACTTATATATTTTTACATAAAACATTTTTTATTTACCCACATCATTAATTTAATAAATATTTAATGATTAATATATACTATCTATTGATTTAGTAAGATGATAAACAATATCAAAAGTTAGAATCCAGAAGAATTGCCATGTCAAGAACATCTATAATACATCGACAAACTAATCAATTAACTAATCAAATATTAATATTTAAACCAAAAAAAATTGCATTAAATTAATATATTAGATTGTGTAATATCCGTAATTTAAGCAGAATTCATTATACCAACCAGATCTAACCCAGGCTAGAGCAAACACAACTTAAATGAGCTTTAAATAATTTATAAACAAAATTGTTCATGTATCTATGTAACTCAGCTCAACCCACTTTTATGTGAGTTCAATTCATAAATCTTAAAATATTGATCATAAGGTTTCATTTATTTGCTTATAAATAAAAACCATGAATTCATTGAATGGTCCTAGACAAGCTAAACTCGATTATGAAAGAAGCAAATATATATGAGAAAACCAAAGTCAGGTCGATTCAAACAACAAAAGAAAAGAAACCCAGATAGCCCGTACATACAAACACCGATACAACTGTTTTGCCTTCCTGCATTTTGCCCATAATTAGATATCTCAATTCCAAGAGCCATCCTGGGAATTAGCATAATATTACATATATATACAGGAAGAAATCAAGCAACACTGATCAAAGCTCACCAATAAATCAATGCCATATGGATTCATCACTGTTGCAGATATTCCGGGTTGAATGCAAGTGCTTCCTGATATATCAGCTCCTTCATCTGCTCCTCGGTTAATGCATGCTGCTCAAAGTCGAAGTTAAAGGGGGTCATGCATACAGGTTCATCACTTATGTCGTGCAGTGAAGTTAGATATGGATGAGCAAGTGCATCCTCCACTGAAATGAATAGGAAGTAGAATTACGTTAGTCCCAACTTGAGACAAAGACATTGCAACACAGCAGTAGCAAAAAAAAAAAAAAGCCAACGACAACCGAACTAATTGAGAGAATTTAGCATGCATTGGTAAACTTCAGTGACTAAATTGGGAAAGAGTAGTAATACACACCGAATATAAGCGATGTGTCGAATGGAAACATGCATATGGATAGTAAGAGAGAGATAAACATGCATTCTTTTGCAACAAACTCACCAGTAATCCTTTGTCTAGGATCAAATGTCAACATCTTTTCAACAAGATCAATAGCTAAAGGGGGGACATTTGGAAACTTTTCAGTGAAAGATTGTCGACGATAAAGAGTAAGTTGTTGAATGTATCTCTTAGCATTTTCATTCAAAAACTCTAACTCGGCCTCTGATGGGGTGCCAATCAGCTGCAAGGCAAAGAATTCACTTCTTATGGTGAAATTCAACAACCATTTCTGATTCAGCAACTTATTTGTTTAAATTTTAGATGATTTAATACTGGACGGGAAAGAACTAACCTCCATGAGCAATCGCAGCTGATGCACATGATCTCTTCCGGGAAATAACGGCTTCCGATCCATCAATTCCATAAAAATGCAACCCACAGACCATACATCAATGGCTGCAGTATAATCAGAAGAGTTTAGCAACAGTTCTGGTGGACGATACCATCTTGTAACGACGTATTCAGTCATAAAGTCACTTTCAGAGGTGACACGAGCCAGTCCGAAATCACATATTTTCAAGTCGCAATTAGCATTCAGGAGAAGGTTGCTAGGTTTTAAGTCCCTGTGTAGAACATTTGCAGAGTGTATATACTTCAGCCCACGTAAGATTTGATAGAGGAAATACTGCAAAGCAAGAGGAGGTGATTAATTTGATGTTAAGGCTCTAACAGTAACCCTTAAAGTATTCGCAATACAATTAACATTTGGAAACGAAAGCAAACAACATTTTTGGAAAGAAATGAAATTAGGAATATTAAAAATGTGTTTCTATTACTCATTTGTTAGTTTTAATCAATTACCATTTGGTTCTACTCTGACAATTTCCTAGCTATGAATAAATAGAATCTTCATTTACGAGAGGGTCAGTTTAAGTTTATTTTTGCACTGTTCTTTTATTTGAAATTGTATGAACTACCCTTGGCATGAAGCCTTTGGGGCCTCACCGCTTAAAACCTAAGGAAATCAAGTGGAGAATACTGTTAAGAATTCCTTTTCGCTCATTATTTATATTCAGGCAAACATTCAGATATAAAATAAAGACAAAATTAGCCCCCAAACGTTTATACAAAAGATCACTTTGCTCCCTATTCCCTTTTTTGGGGGTATTTTCGCCCCCAACGTTTCAATATTTTGTCAAAATAACCCATGTTGGATGGAAACAGTTAGTTGACTAATGGTCAATACATGTTGCTGACATAACATTTTTACATGTGCTTAATTGATGACACGGCATGTGCCAAGTCACCCAAAATGATGATGTAGCATATGTTACGCCACCCAAAGGGATGACATGACATGTGCCACATCAACAATTAAACAAGTGAAAATGCCACATCAATAACTTGTGTTGACCATTAGCAACAAGGGCTATTTTGACGACAAAAAAAATGTTGTGGTCTCAAATGCTCCAAAAAAGAATAAGGGGCGAAGTGATCATTTGTGCAAACATTGGGGGCTAATTTTATCATTAGCCAAAAATAAACCCAGAAGCTTTTCTTTTGAAGTTGAACCCTAGCAAAACCATCTATCCAAGCATAAAGTACCCTTTAAATCAAGGTCACTGTTCAAGAGCAGAATGCAAAGCTGAACAAAAGATTGAACTTCTTGATCCATTATTGTACTATAAGAAACCTTATTTGTCTTATATTTACCCCTCCCAAATAAGCACAGATATTTGCTTTCAAACCCTATCTTGCACACCATCCCACATTAACTAGTACTCTAAAAGCCAAAGAAATTTCTCTATGCATTACTCTTCAAGTGCAAACGATGGCCAATGTTTGCATTTATAGCAGTTGAACTTTCCAGTTTGGTTAGGTGTGAAGATAAAGTGATTACGACGAACTGTACTGACTAACAGCTGAGCTTGATGCAAGTAAAAATTAGGGATCTAAATTAGCAGTCAACTGAAATAGCTGTACCATAAAAATTTTAACTTATATTTGAGGAATATGATGACTCCTTATCGTTAAAAAAACAAATCTCTAAATTCCAACCTGACAATGCTCTTCCGATAAAGCTTGATTAGAACGGATTATCTGATGCAGGTCAGTGTCCATCAGCTCATATGCAATATAAACATCATTAAAGCATTCCCTTTGGGTTGGTGGAATTATATCCCTGATTGCAACAACCTGCATAAAAGGTGCTAATGAGATTACCCACCATGATAACAAAAAAGATAGTGTTCTTCCAAGGTATCTCTCACTTTCTCACAGCTACAGAAAAAGAAAGATAATTGGCACAAAGAAAGGAAATGTTATAAACAGTTAATGTAAAGTGGTTACACCATAAGCTAAGGTTTAAACAAAATTAACCAGCGATAGCATTAGCGCCAACCTGACAACAAAACAACACTGTTATACATGGATATTATTGATACTTATGATCAGAATAGAGCAGCCAGTATAGGATAGGACAACACTGTTTAAAACTTGGAATTGCAATTTTAGTTGAGAGCTTTGAGGCTTTTCATTAGTATAAATACCATCCAACATCCCCATCTAGAAAAGAGAAATAAACACTTCCAGGGTTAGTCTTTCTGTTATTCACTTAAGGAAGGTTGAAATACAGTAGCAATGCATAAACTAATACTAATATTAATCATTTAATAACATAGCACGATGAAAATGCAATGTGTTTAGTAATTATACAAAAGAATTATTTCATGTCAATGCAAACCTTCCATAATCCTCAAAACCAGGGATACTAATTAATTAGATAGGCCACTTTCATATGAAATAATATCCCAAGCATAGCCGAATTCAGTACCAAGATGTTATGAACTGTAACCTCTTATTAAGGTCTATTAAATGATTGATGAGTGAATACTCTTGCGTTGCTCTAACAATTTTCCTTTTATTTCCCCCTAAAGTAACTACCTATATCGAAAGCACATATAACACGATGTTATGTACACCTCGTTAGATTTATTCAATGACTTGTGAGTGAATACACTTGCATAGCTCTAGCTATTTTCCTTTTATTTCCCCTACTATATTTGTAATACCCCAAATAATAGGACATTGATTAAATTGAAAGGAATTAAAAATATGGAGGACTAAATTGATTAATTGATAAAGATGAGAATGAGTGGGACTAGTAGTCTAGACTAAATTGTAGGGGGAAGGATTAAAAAGGGCATTTATGGGTATTTGGATATAAATGAATTTAAAATTCATTTATTATAGTATATTAATTATAGAAATAGGAGAAGAGGGAAAGGAAAGTCAACACTCTCTTCTTCTTCCTCTTTCACGTGAAAAAGCCTTCAACCCTAGCTAAAGGTAAGTTTTCAATTTAGTGGTTTATTCCTTCAATTTTTGTTGGTTATTGAAGCTTTGTATATGATGGAAGCTTAAGGAAGGTTTAGATGAGATTAAAACTAAGTTATGTATGAGATGTTAGAGATTAAAGAAAATGGGTTTTTGAGTGATATGTTGAAATAGGAGGGTTTATGGATGGTTATTGGTAAAATTGACTTGTCAATGAGGTAAATGAAAGATTAGAAGCCTAGAATGAGTTTATAAAACAAGTTGGAATTTTGGTGTGATTCTAAGAATCAAATGCATCTGAGATATACTAGATGTTTTAAGTGTCTAAACGAAGTAAAGTTAGTATGGTTAAGTAGAGAAGTGTTATATAGTATTGTTAGGGGTAAATGAGAGGAAAATTGACCAAAGTTGGATAAGTTTCGGGTTAAAAACTGGAAAATCTGGGCAGGGGTATCGGTACTGATAGAACAATACCGATACTATAGGCAAAAATTGAGCTAAATCAGCTGAGAAGTATCGATATTGATTCAATCAGTATCGGTACCGAACGAAGTGGTATCGATACCATGGTGAGGGTATCGATACCGGGTAACATCAAACCTAATTTTGGTATCGATACCATATACCATAATATAGTAGTATCGATACCATGGTAAGGGTATCGATACTGGGCCACATCGAATCAAATTTTGGTATTGATACTGGAAGGGGATATCGATACCAAAGCAAGGTAGTATCGATACCATGGTAGGGGTATCGATACTGAAGGGACAGAAATTTTAAGTTGGGCTGATATTGTTGTAGAAAGGTTAATAATAAGTATTTTGATTAATGTTTAAGTTATAATTGTTAGGAAATACACTAACAATTGATATTATGTATGTATTTAATGAATGTGAGATAGATCGAAATCAAGCTCCTGAATCAAGTAAAGCCAAAGACAAAGGCAAATTTTCGGAGTAGCAAATTGTGAATTTGGAATATCAAAGCAAGGCAATCCAGGTGAGTACTTTATTATAAGTATGATAGATGATGAATATTCAATTTAGATTGTTTAAATTATATATATGTTTTATAATATTGATTATGATATTTTACAAGTACGAAAAAATATTATGAACAAGTTTTAGAGTATGAACTGCTCTAAATAAAATTCATAATTGAAAATGCATGAAAGGATGCATTAAGGCATGAACGGATGCCATAATTGAAAATGCATGAAAGGATGCATTAAGGCATGAAAGAATGCATTAAGGCATGAACGGATGCATTAAGGCATGAACGGATGCCATAATTGAAAATGCATGAAAGGATGCATTAAGTCATGAACGGACGCCATAATTGAAAATGCATGAAAGGATGCATTAAGTCATGAAAGGATGCCATGTATATTAAAATGTATAAATGGATGTGTTAATACATGAAAATAGACATAAGTTTAATGAGCTAAAGAGAAGTATGTTGGACATACTAAAGATTATTTTAAGGATAATATAACCAAGGTTTGGGATGTAATACGAGTGATTTAACAAATTCCTATGGATGATATAATTTCATATGAAGTTAAATAGCCATGAGTTATTTATGTATTCTTGAATGTTATTTTCTATATTATCTCCCTAAGTAAATGCTTATCGTGTGTTGTTTCTCACGCGTAGGACAAAGGAAAGATTAGCTGAGTAATGAGTGTTTTTGCAGCTGTGGTGATCATCAACTAAGGTGGACTAATCCGTAACACAAACAATCTAATATATTTGGAAATTTTGTTGGCATGTAATCACAATATTTTAAATGCTTTTAACTTCAAACAATTGGAATGTATAACATGTTGAAAGAAATGTTTTGTATTATATTAAAATGTTATGTTTAAAAAAAAAACTTTAATGTGACATCCATATCTCATGTACAGAAGGATATATGGGAAATGGGTGTTACAATATTTGTTATGAATTGTAACCTCATTAGGTTCTCAAGTTAAGGTATATTCATTGTTTAGTGAGTGAATACTCTTGCACAGCTCTGAACTACAGTCCTTTCATTTCCCCCTACCTATAAAAAACAAAATACCTAACACTTCGATGTTATGAACTGAAACCTTTTTAGGTTCTTCAGTTAAGGTTTACTCAATGAATAGTGAGTGAATAATCTTGTGTTATATTACTTCTATTTCTCCAAAAGTAAATACCTATATCAAAAGCATATGCAACACCCCAATGTTATGAACTGTAACCTCATTAAGTTCTCAAGTTAAGGATTATTTAATGATTAGTGAGTAAATACACTTTATTAGTTCTAACTATATTCCTTTTATTTGCCCCTAAAGTACCTACCTATATCGGAAACATATCTAACACTTCAATGTTATGAACTGTAACCTCATTAGATACTCAAGTTAAGGTTTATTCTCAACGATTAGTGAATAAATACTCTTATGTTACTCAAACTATTTTCCTTTTATTTCCCCCAAAGTACCTATATATACCGAAAATATATCTAACACTTTGATGTTGTGAACTGTAACCTTATTAGCTTCTCGAATTAAGGTTTATTCGATGATTAGAGAGTGAATACTCTTGCATTTCTCTAACTATTTTCCTTTTACTTCCCCCTAATTAACTACCTATACGAAAATATATCTAACACTTCAATGTTATGAATTGTAACCTCGTTAGATTAGAGTTAAGGTCTATAACACCTACCATTAGTAGGGATAGTGATGGAATTGGGTATGTCATTAGATTTTCCTTGATCTTTATCTTATAACACCTACCATTAGTAGAGATAGTGATGGAATTGGGTATGTCAAAAGGACTCGCAGCTCTTACCACCATCTTCGCAGCAAGAATGTCGTTCTTTTGGAGAGTCTCCTCTTGAATTTTCACCAGAGACCCCCACCTCGAAGCCAAACTAGAGAAGAAAACTTCACTCCAACAATTTAGTGGAACTCCTACAAAAGAAACTGAACAAAATGCCATAGGCACTACCTCCTCTAGGGATACCGAAGCCAACCATTCAAACCAAAACTTAAATTCATCCGCTCTGTTCTCCAAGCATCCTTTTTTCTATTTCAGACGGAAAAATGATGATACACGCATTTTTTGCATAGACCCAACTAGCTATCTTTGCGTTGAAACCATCATTATATATGGCCTTCTGAATAAACTCAATGTCATACAAAGGTTTGAAGATACCTTTCAAGGACAGCTTAATCCACTCCCTCTCCTCCGATGGTATGAAAACATTTAACTGACTCTTCTTCTCCATTGGTCCACTCATGTCACGACACAAAGACCCTACTGTTTTCTTCCTCTTCCCAACCAAGAAATCTTTATACGATCTCCAATCATAGAAATTGTTAAAAGACGTTCTGTCTTTTGAGCTCCTTGGCACTTCCCTTGTATGCCTCTCTGACCCTTAAACTCCTTCACCTGTCTCGTTTTTATGAGACTATCCAAGACCCTACTGTTTTCTTCCTCTTCCCAACCAAGAAATCTTTATACGATCTCCCATCATAGAAATTGTTAAAAGACGTTCTGTCTTTTGAGCTCCTTGGCACTTCCCTTGTACGCCTCTCTGACCCTTAAACTCCTTCACCTGTCTCGTTTTTATGAGACTATCCCTTTTGTTATTTGGCCACACCTACCGTGATCCTTCTCCCGTTGATCAGAGTATTATTAACCCACTCACTGGCGTTAAACAGATCATTCTGACTCTCAAAATGAACAAAGGCGAAAGTAGCGTCTCTATATCTTGGCCTCCTATTGGCAAGAGGGATGAAAACCTTGGAAACCTTGCCATGGCGATTGAAGAACTCCCATAATGCACTCCTAGAGACTCGTCTACTCAAATTATCAAAGAATGCTGTCCATTTTGCTCCAATGGGGAGTGAACCGACCCTAGAACTCATGACCCTTAGTAAAAATCTGCTCGAGTTGTCGTTTCTTAATGTCTTTGAATTACCAAATGCTTCTAAGATAGGATGGGTCTTCAATATTTAATACTATTTTTCTTAGAAAATATGATTTTATTAAGAATTTAATCAAACAATCCCAAAACTTAAGATCTACTTCTCATGCATATAGCAAGAAATTCGCCGTGTAGCAAAGTTACACCCAACCTACACTAAAGTAAACCATTTACCACCATGCTTAAAATAACTCACGCCTAGGCATCCTTTCCCTATCTAAGTGTCAACCATTCCATTTTGACTTCTCAACACATAGACAAAATTCACCAATGCAATTGAACGAATCATGACATCTATTTTGTCAAAGGTAATCTACCAACACCATGGCCTCAATAACGAATGATTTACTCAAGGAACAACGATCCAAGAGATATCAAATATAAACACATACAACCAAGCAATTGCAATTGCTACAACTATTCTGTCCAAAGGACTACAGGTCATAGAGCTAAAGGACATCTATCTTGCACATGTAGCATATCACCATTCGAATGCATCAAGAATCAATAAACATCATCAACATTTCAACAGGCAAGTTACACTGTCTCCAAAACAATATTTGGCCGACGTGAAAATCAGTTGCTTCCATTTAAGAGATAGAGCCTCATATAATAGCCCGAGATAATAGAAAGATAAGGCTAGCAGCAATCAACTTTGAACTCTACCAAGACCCTACCAAATATTAAAACAAGACTCTTTCCAAACCCATCCCCTATTCATTCATTCAACTCCCACATTGCAAGATTCAAACATCTTGCTGCAGCAGACATCCAAACTTTTTATCCATCAAGCTTCAAATATTCAATATGCCCATTAATTCATCCGCAAAGAGTCAGACCCATAAAGATTATATTTTTTTTTTGATAGAATATTAGGCCTCATTAAAAACCCTCATCTTACCCTCCATATTACTATAGTAACATGAAGGACAATGAGAGAGGGAAAAGAGTGCCTATTACTTTTATTAATCACAAAATCTCTAAATAGCTCCTTTATCCTTCACCTACTGGTCAGTTAAACTTTTAATCCCTAAACACATACCACACAACAAAAGAGAATCAAACCACCTACAGCATTGACAATTTGAAATATCTTTAGCATTCATCCGAATACGACATATAAGAAACCACTCAACCTTCTTTCAAAAAGAAAAAAAAGCACTCAACCTCATCAAAAGAGACAAACAACTATGGTTAAAGAATTATTCATCAAAGATGCAGCTATTATTTTGAAATTCTAATATATTTTAATGATTCCTTCCAAAACCAAAGAAATAAAACCTCAATGCTTCTAATATACTTGTTATTTGGACCAAACCGAGTGAATTTCTTGCCCACCACTGAAAGATCAAGCAAATTTACAGTGAAGGAAATAAATTCAGCATTTCCAATCACTTTACTAACACAACCTCTCCACTTGCTCCTATTTCTGAACGAGATAAAGACTCCCCAATTATCCCATATAGTAACAAAGCCACCCAACCTATTCGCCTTTGGAACAAATGCATAGGTTCAGGTTTACTCGTTAATTAGTGAGTGAATACTCTAGTATTGTTCTTAACTTTTTTTCCTTTCATTTTCCACAAAAGTACCTACCTATATTGAAATCATATCTAACACTTAGATGTTATGAATTGTAACCTCGTTTGGTTCTCCGGTTAAGGTTTATTCAATGATTTTTAAGTGAATATTTTTAAAATACTATTTTCAATTTTTAGCCCTAAAGTAATTACCTACGTTGAAATCATATCTAAAACTTCAATGTTATGAACTGCAACCTCGTTAGATTCTCAACTTAAGGCTTATTCAATGATTATTAAGTAAATACTCCTCCGTTACTCTAGCTATTTTCCTTTTATTTCCCCCTAAAGTAACTACCTATATCGAAATCATATGTAACACTTAAATTTCCCGAACTGTAACCTCGTTAGCTTCTCAAGTTAAGGTTTATTCAATGATTAGTGAGTGAATACTCGTGTTGTTCCAGCTATTATCTTTTTATTTCCTCCTAATACCGGCCCATATCTAACACTTCAAAAGCAAAACACCATTTGATTTTTCACTTTTGAAGATTGAACAAATCCAGATCACAACGAGGCCGAGTAATATATCCATCAAGAACGTTAGAACAGAAAAACAAAAAATAAAACCAAGACAAATAAAGGAATTAACAACGAATGTGTTGAACTAGAAGCAAGTTAAAAAAAAACCCAAATAATTGACTCACTGACGTTTTCATGATCCATGTGACGAAGCAGCTTGATCTCACGAAGAGTTCTCTTTGCATCAATCTTATTGTCAAATGCGTTCGCGATCTTCTTTAACGCGACGTGTTCATTTGTCTCGGAATTCAATGCAGAACTAAAATAAATCAAAGAAAATTAACAAAATTCAATCAAATAACAGTAGTTCAAAATAACTAATCAACATTAGTAGTAGTAGTAGAAGAAGAAGAATAGTAATTACCAAACGATGCCGTAAGCACCTTTACCAATAGGCATAATAGGGGGTTTGTATTTAGCAGTGACCTCAAAAATGTTCCCAAAAATATTGTACTGAATAAACCTGCCCCCGTGGCTAAGAGTTGCCGGGATATTTTCCATCCCGGTGGCCATCTGCGGCGGATGTTGCTGGTGGTGTTGAGCGGCCTCCCCCATCTCGGTGTCCGCCGACTGAGGTGTTCCACCGCCTTCCATACTTTACCTTATTTCCTGGAAGGAAAAAAAAAAGAAAGAGAGATTGAAAAGAAATTGGGGCGAGCGATGCTGTAGCAGAAGGATGCGTAGAATTTTATTTGTCAATGCAATGGATCTGTGTTGTGTTTTCACTTTTTATTTTTCAGCGCTCTAGAATTGGTGTTGCTGGTGGCGATTTTACCCAAATATACTTTAACAAAAAATAATATTAAATCTGACACATCCAAAAAGAAGATTTAATATAAAGATAAAATATAGTAATGGTCATTGAATTTTTTTGAAATTTACATTTAGGTCTCTTAACTTTTAAAATTTATAATACAGTCTTTTAACATTTAGTCCATTTGCAATATGGTTCTAGACGTAACCGCCCGTTTGACGCCGTTACACTGCCGTTAGTACGTTTGCAATATGGTCACTGAACTTTTCACGCGCTTGCATTTAGGTCCCCCAACTTTTAAAACTTACAACACATTCCTCAATTTCATTCTAAACCATAAAATCATTTTCGATCATGAATTTCCTTTTTCGCTTCTCTCTTCTCATTTCCAGTGTAACTTTTCAGTCGGGGATGCATGGGAAATTCTAATCTAACTTTGAATTCTATGGAACGATAGATGTAACAAGACCATCAACGATTCAAGGTGTAACGATAGATACATGTCATCTCAGGTGAAGAATAGATGTTCGATGAAATGCTTGTGAGAAAAAAAATAGGGTTGGAAATGCAGAGTTGACAAATACTACTAAGATGAACTAAGTATCATTGTTGAAAGTCACCAACAAAGTTGAAATTATTTTGTATAAATGACATATAATAATTTCTTCGTTTAATCCTTGTGGTTAAAGATTTTCCAACAGATGATCAAATATAATGAAATCTCAAACAGCGCCTTCACCTCTCAGTCTCTTTCGCTCACATGCACTCTCGTTTGGTTTTTGTTCTTCAATTTTCCGCCATGTAAAATTGTAAACCCAAGTTGTGCTCTGTCTTTCAGCTTTTTATTTTCAAAGAAAAAATGGAGGAAGAATTGCTGGAATACAACACCGATTGCGTTTATTTCTTAGCCTCTCCCCTCACTTGAAGGTATTTATTTTTTCTTTTGGGCTATTATGAAGTAAGCTTTTTCTCTTTTCCCATTTTCAACTCGCATTGTGTGTTTTTTGTTGATTTTTTTATGTTTATGAAACTGCATGTCAAGGATATGGATATTCAGTGTTAGTTTTGAACCAAAACCATCTAATCTTCTTTCTTTCTTCTTAATCAAAACTTTTAGTACTCCTTATTAAAGATATTTAATCCATCAGAATAGAAGTGAAAGAGGGTCCTAGGCTAATTTTTTTTATCTTCTTGTTTGGTTTTTCTTTAAATCAGGGAATCGGTTGTGAGTATCGACATAGTGAAATCGCCAGGCTCAATCCCAGAGACTACTGATACCAGTTTACTGGAATTGTATTTATCCGACTTGTGGTTTTCGGCATCCTGTGAACTCGTATTCTTTTTAATAAGTTCATGTTGATTATGAGACTAATATATTGTGAACGAATTGGATTTTTTACATGTTTTGGAAATTTTAAAGTTGAATCTATATTGAATTATAGCTTTAGAAGACAATTATGCATGCACGTAACTCGAAAGGCATCATGACATGATAGTATATTTTGAGCAGCTACTTGATATGTTGCCCGATCATTGCACATCTGCACCTTCATTTCTAGCATATATATGTTTGTTGCAGTGTTCTTTATGTTTTACAATGTCTTTTATTGTTGACATGCCATGAATTTACAAGAATTATGGGGTCCTATGATTTTAGTTTCGCTATCTGATTTAGATTCTCATCATGTTTGGATATTGATGAACATTAAACATGGAGCATTAGAAACAATTATATGTAAAAAGGGTAGGCCATTAATGTATTTACAACTGGTAATGTTGTATTTGGCATCTAATGTCTATCTTAAACAACCCATTTGATGCCTTAGCTTTTGGAGTGACTATGACCGAACCACTTTCCCTTTATTTATTAAGTCCTCCTTTTGAATGAGTTATTAATTGATTTTCTTGGTTTATTTTAGTTATTGCTTGGTTGTATGTTGTAGTCCTATGAACTAAAACTCTTTACTATTTTCGCAGCCGTTGGATGTGCATGCTTAAGTTCCATCCAAACCTATTGGATTGCCATACCAAAGTGTGGCAGCTACTAACAAGACAAATTGGACTTGTTACTTTTACTTCAACGGTTTATGCAATAAACGTGATAGGTGCACTTTTCATTTTCAAAGTGCGGCATTCGTTGGATGTGCATGCAACAAACCTCAAATTTTTATTAAAGTGAACACTATCAAATAGCAAATTCATGTTCAAAATTCCATAACACTTCAATTACATTCTAAACCCAAATTCCAAAATATTTTAATTACATTCTAAACCTTAAATTAAAGTATTTTAGAATTTAAGGTTTAAATTGTAATTGAATTATTTTAGAATTTGGGGTTTAGAATGAAATTGAGGATTGTGTTGCAAGTTTTAAAACTTGGGGGACCTAAATGCAAGCGCTTGAAAAGTTTAGTGATCATATTGCAAACAGACTAAATGTTGGAGGACTACCACATCATTTTCTTCTAACGGTAGTGTAACGGCATCAAACAGCCGGTTACGTCGGGGACCATATTGCAAACGGACTAAATATTAGAGGACTGTATTATAAGTTTTAAAAGTTGGGAGACCTAAATGCAAGCTTCAGAAAAGTTCAGTGACCATTACTATACTTTACCCTTAATATAATTATGTTTACAACTCATCCGAATTAATCAAATTTTAAAATTGTTGTGGTCAATAACAAAATGAAGGTTCAATATAAGACTTACCTATGTGACGTATTGTAAGACGTTTCTTATAAAAAAAATGTATTTTATACGTGACATTTAAGTTAACAAAATATTTATTGATGAAGCAGATAATAATGTAAAATGTATTTAATGATATTTAGGTCATTTAAATTTAAAAAAAATAAAATTACAGGATTAATTCCAAATCAGAATTGTTACCGGAGCTAGTTTACAAAAACATAAATGAAGTGTTAATTTTTTTTTATAGATGTAGGATGAATTAAAGAGAATTTCTCTACTTTTTTCTCATATAAAATTTAATTTTTTTACTTTTACTTAATTTATTAAAAAATATTATTAAAATAAAAAATTAAATATTTTAATATTTTGAAATATTAAAAATTAATCTTATTAATTATGAAATAAATTTGGTTGAAAAATATATTTCTAAGATTTGAATATTAGAAATTAAAAAACGAATGACTATGGTATAAATTGATTTAAAAACTTTAGGGTATGTTTGGTTCTAGAAAATATATGTTATTTTTATTTTTTTAGAAAATAGAAAATATTGAAGAAAACTTGTTTGGTTGTAAAATGAAAAAATGATTTCTAAAAAATGAAAAATAAAAATAAATGAAAACATGAAAAAGAAATTTTCAGTATTTTCATTAAAAAATATTTAAAAAATTTAAAAAATAGGAAACACAAGATCTAGATTTTTAATTTACATAGATTCAAATCCTTCTAAAAAATAATTTTTTTGACTTAATGGTGCCTAAAACCCTCAAACTTTTACCAAAAAAATCAATATGATCCCTAAAATTTTTATACTCAATATGGTCCTTAAACTGATTTTTTTAATAATTTAATTTTATAGTATTTTGTATTGAATGTATTGAATATCTTAATCATTGTTTATATTTTAAATTTTAATAATTTCTTATTTAAATAAGTCCTCAAACTTTCTAAAAAATCAATTAGACCCTTGCATGTAAGCAAAAAAAAATCAATTAAGTCAATCTATCACATCATCATGTATCGTATATTGTCACAACAACATCATAAATTATCACATCATAAACTGTCACATCAATATTATATATTACCGTATAAGTTTTGTGAGCTGTTATGTAACTGTCGTGAAGATCAATGTTTCATTTCGTTAGTCAAAATGTTAAATTGATTTTTTTCTCATATTAAATGTCACATTTAGTGCAAAAAAAAATCACGGGTTACATTAGTTTTTCTTCAAAAAAACGTTTAGCCTTAAATACTACTAAATATATATATTTTTATTTTAATGGCACTTTTGTCTATCTTACTTATAATAATATTTTTGTTTATTTTTTAATTTAATTAATGTCCAATATACATTAATATTTTATTCCTATTATATACTAAAATATTTTTTAGTTTATGAAATTTCTTATCAATTTTATTATTTTATATTTTTAT